GAGTACGTCGAGCGAAAACGCTCAATTGCTGACTCCCTCGCTGCAAACCTGCACCCTGTTTCTGATGAGGACCTAATCGGTCACATCCTCTCTGGGCTAGATAGCTCTTACGGCGCCTTCTCCACTGCATTCATGATCCACAGTGATGATGCTTCTGTTGACGATCTGGTGGGCAAATTGCTTCAGGAGGAAGCACGACTCGCTCACGAACTGGCACGCCAATCCACCATCGCTCCCTTGGCTCATTCATCTCCAGCACCAATCTCTTCTGCCCACGTCGCCAGTCGGCAATCTGGCCGGTCATACAATACCACAAATTCTGGTGGCGCCTATTCTCACGGGGATTCCAGGAGTGACTCTAGAGGCGACACTCGTGCAACAAACGGTGGTGAGTTCCGCCGTCGCCGCCCCCAGTGCCAATTATGTGGGCGTCCAGGTCACGAGGCTGTTGATTATTGGCAGCGTGATAATCAGATTGATTTTCCCTCGCGCAAGCCCAACCCACGCAATACATCAAAGCAGGCTCATTATGCTTCTCAGGCTCCGTCTTCAAGTGCCATCGATCCTTCTTGGTATTTCGACACCGGTGCCACTGATCATGCTTCTCCAGATTTTCAGAAGCTGACCATCTCTGATGACTACAAAGGCAATGACAAGCTGCAAGTGGGAAATGGTAGCCTTTTATCTATTTCTCACATTGGCAATTCTACTTTACATAATTTGCGCTTGCCTAATGTTCTCATTGTTCCTAAACTCACAAAAAGCCTTCTCAGTGTATCCAAATTTACAAAGGATAATAAGGTTTATATAGAATTTTGGCCTTCTCATTGTCTTGTCAAAACCTTTCAGGGTCAAACTATACTCCGTGGGGGCATTAACAACGACCTCTACTGCATTAACTCCATTCACAATAAAGCTCGACCAACCCTGGCTCTCACCGGCATCCGTACGTTTGTCCACGGCTGGCACCAGCGGCTTGCCCATCCTCATGAACCTCTATTGCGTCGTCTTATTTCCTCATTTAATTTACCAATTTCTTCAAATAAATTTCCCAATGTCTGTGACTCTTGTCAACTTGGAAAGAGCCATCGATTTCCTTTAGCATCATCTCATATTGCGTCATCTACTCCTTTTGAACTGATTTACTCTGATGTATGGGGTCCATCTCCCAAATTTTCAATCAATGGCAATTGGTATTTCGTTTTGTTTATTGATGATTGCACCAAATATGTGTGGATTTATTTTCTATCGCACAAATCACAGGTTTTCACTACTTTTGTGCAATTTCGTACTATGATTGAAACACAATTCAATGCAAAAATCAAACATCTTCAATCCGATTGAGGGGGTGAATTTCGCAATGTCTCTATTTTTTTAAAACAACACGATATTTCTCACCGTATTACATGTCCATACACACAAGAGCAAAACGGGGCGGTTGAACGACGCAATCGTATCATCATTGAAAAAGGCCTCACTCTTTTGGCTCAATCATCTTTACCTCACGAATTTTGAGAACATGCTTTCAAAACTGCAACTTATCTCCACAATAGAACCATTACCCCCACCTTACACTACCATTCTCCATATCAACAATTATATCACAAAGATCCAAATTATGGTTTTCTCAAAATCTTTGGATGTCTTTGCTATCCTTTTCTTTGTCCATATAACAACCACAAAATTGATTTTCGTTCTCTTCCATGTGTGTTTATTGGTTACAGTACTTCTCACAAAGGATATCTCTGTTTTCATAAACCTACTGAGCGTATATATGTTGCAAGGCATGTTGTTTTTAATGAGCATATATTCCCATATTCTGTTTCTTTACATAATTCGGCGTCTAACTTATCTACTCCTGCTTCTCCAGAATTAAATTCTGATTTGTTAGAGCAAGCTGCTGGGCTGCCCACACCTTCGGCCACGTTCCAAACTGCACCTACAATTCAGCCAACAATTCAGCCCTCACTCACAATTCATCCCACTTCTCCGCCGGCCCCACAACAACATCAACAACATGTTCCTTCATACTACAGACCAGCCCAATCTTCCACTCACCCCATGACCACACGAGCCCAAACCGGCTCTCTCAAACCAAAAATCCTAGCTGCCACTCTTAAACCTGAACCCGATCCTCGTACATACAAACAAGCCGTCAAACATAAACATTGGCAAGATGCCATGACTGTAGAATATAATGCCCTTGTGAAAAATGGTACTTGGTATCTTGTCCCTTGTCCTACTAATGTTAATGTTGTGGGTTGTAAGTGGATTTACAGGACAAAGCGCAAATCCGACGGGAGTATCGAGCGTCACAAAGCTCGTTTGGTGGCACAAGGTTTTAGTCAGCAAGCAGGTAAAGACTTCTTTGAGACGTTCAACCCAGTGGTTAAGTCAACAACCATTCGACTTGTCTTGTCCATTGCCTTATCCAACCAATGGTGTCTTCAGCAATTGGACATCAACAATGCATTCTTGAATGGTGAGCTCTCCGAGGTTGTCTATATGCGTCAACCAAAGGGTTTTGAGGATTCTCATCAACCTGATCATGTCTGTCAATTGCGAAAGGCTCTTTACGGGCTCAAACAAGCACCCAGATCTTGGTTTACCAAGCTTAAGCATTACCTTATCACACAGGGCTTTCGGGCTTGTCAATCCGACACATCCTTGTTTGTTCATCATTCTGCTGCTGCAACAATCTACATCCTTGTATATGTAGACGATCTGCTCATTACCGGCACGGATTCAGGTTTGATTAATAACTTTATCATTAATCTTAACAAGGTGTTTGCTTTAAAGGATCAGGGAGACTTGCATTATTTCCTCGGTCTTCAAATCACACGTACTAGTTCTGGGGTACAACTCACTCAAGAAGGTTATGTTAGAGATATTCTGGAGTCCACCAACATGTCTGCTGCTGCTCCTATAACAACACCAGCTGACCCACAACATCGTCTAGTCAAGGCGGGTGAACCATTTGATGATCCAGCCTTATACAGACGCACTGTCGGTTCTCTCCAGTATGCTACAATCACCCGGCCTGATATTACGTATGTGGTGAATCGCGTTTGTCAATTTATGCATTCCCCGACACTTGATCATTGGCGTGCTGTCAAAAGAATACTTCGCTATCTTGCTGGTACTCTGTCACACTCTCTCCACTTCAGTCCAACTCAAGCAACTTCTTTTTTAGCATATTCAGACGCGGGTTGGATCTCGGATTCGGACGACAGCCGCTCTCAGTTTGGATATGCAATCTTCCATGGATCTAATCTCATCAGCTGGACTTCTCGCAAACAGAAGGTTGTTGCTCGCTCAAGCACTGAGGCGGAATATCGATCCCTGGCATACACCGCCGCCGAACTGCTTTGGCTCAATCTTCTTGCTTATGAGCTTCATGTGCCTATTATTGGTCCTCCGTTGCTTCTCTGTGACAATGTTGGTGCAATTTTCTTGTCCAAGAACCCAGTTATCAGCACACGGTCCAAGCATATTGCGCTAGATTTTCACTTCCTTCGTGACCAGGTTGATTCCGGTACTCTCAAAATTGGCCACGTATCATTCGTTGATCAACTAGCCGATATATTCACCAAACCACTTTCCAAAGATAGAGTTTCTTTTCTTCGTTCCAAGCTTCGCGTTCTTCCGAATCATCAGCTTGCTGGGGGGTAATAAGTAGTTAGTAATTAGTTTCCTACTTTCCTGCCAAGTAACATTAGTGGAATAGGTTAGTAATTAGTTTCCTACTTTCATGCCAGTAACGTTAGTGGAATAGGTATTGATTGTTAGTTCCACTCCTTATTATTAGCATTCAGTTTCTCAATTCTTTGCTATATATATTCGTGTAATTGTTTACCACATCAACATAGAATCATCAATTCAAATCCCTTCTCTACAGATCTTTGTAGAAGATATATTTTAGATTTAATTTTGTGTATAAATAACGTAGTGAAGTAGATTATTGTAATTCATTGTAAATCTTTATTTTGAAGCTATCACTAAATATTCCTTTTGTCTTTTATCTCTTCTTTGTGCACCAAAAGTATCTAAATAAACTACCTCAACAAAACATCCACAGTCTAAAATCATTTTTGCATCAACCTAAAACACATTTGTGACTTGTTCATCGCAGTCCATTTGATAGGCATGGTAAAATGATGGATTCTCCGATAATTGAGTTTGAAAATATTCCATGAGACAACCAATTTCTCCGTATACCATGTTTCGTTGTCGTCTTGCATTGAGGTAATTCCTAGCATCCAATTTTATATATTCAAAATTAGTTCTTCCGCCAGCATGTGCACTCATAAGCTGAAATGAAGCCTTTTGCATCAATCCAAAATTCACTGCCATTTCAATCTCATGCGCTTGAATTTTAGATATTTTACAGTGCGATACTAGCATGTGTGTTGTTTCAGCAAGTTGTAAAGGGTGATTATGATCCTCTATGAACTCTTGGATTACACACTTCTTATTTTGTGCACTAAGTGCAATTCTTGCCCTGCATCTGGTTCTTGTTTCAACCCTAAAATTCTTAACTAAAAAACATCGTTTATCTATCCTATAAAAAAACTTGTATTCATGTATGAGATTTATGAGGTTGCAAGAAGTTTCATTAAAAAGCTTATTAACTTAACCAATCTATGGCCTTGTGTAGATGTATGAATGAAAAAAATTAATTAAACAAATCAAAACATCCAAACCACCTCTATATAAGGTACAGTGATGTTTCAAGAGAAAGAGGAGAAATGAGGTTTTCTTTTATGGATAAAAAATAGAAATATTAGACAACATAAATCCGAGGCATTAAAACACTAAAATATTTAGGTTTGGATAACTCAAAACGTCACTACATGTTTTTCTTCCAATGCTAGTGAGACCTTAATCCTGATTACATTACATGCATGCACTACAAACACAAGTTTAACATCCTACCACTTTACACATGACATTAATTTGAACCAATTTCCTTGACATGTTCCAAATAATTTATGCAACTCTTAAGAGATAGAATGTCTTTGGTGTCTCAAAGATGAAGACTTGGTATCTCCAAGTACTACAGAAGTTGGACTATTAGAACCCCCTGAAGTTTCTGAACTCCTATTCTCTCCTTGTCCTTTACCAACATTCCATATCTTATCAAATATTCTCCTCGACCGAGACGGAAGCAACTGCATGCCGCTTTTGCTGTTTTTGCTACTCTTGTTACTCAACCTCACACTCCTGCGAAACTCGTCGTCTTTGATCTTCATGCGGCTTGTTTGTCTGATCAGGGAATGGCAGCTCCCTCCCAAAGTTTTCTCGTAGTCTGCATCTCCGTTTAGAAGTGAGCGTGGACTGGCAAATGCCCGGGTGCTTGCTGCAGCTCTAACTTGTTCGAAATATAAAACCTGCACAACAACTCGAACGGGAAGACGTTCGTTCTGTGCAGCGTGCGCCGATGCTTCGGCTGTTAATTTCTTGACATTCATTAGTCCACATATGTTCTTCCTTTCAGATTTTGTCAAACTTTGGTGCTCCTGAAAATGATAGACTCAGACGAAATAGAAATTTAAGCAAAGATATGACTTCGTATACCATCATTGGAGACATAGGCACAATTTGGAATACTTGGTGAGAAATAAACAAAATCAGTTAAAACATCTTCAAGGTAACAAAATCATACCTTCAAGTAGATGTCGATGGCTTTGTATAGACCATCATGATTTGGTCTAGCAAACTCAGGAATAGACTGTGAAAGATCAACAAAACTAGAGAGGCTGAGATTTGGATCATGTGCAATTTCTCCAAGATAACCATCAACCAACTTGCCAACATTCAGTATCGACCTATTCCCTAAAATAGATTCACCGAATACTTTATCATTCTTGTCCACAGCCTCCACGCCACGGCTTTTCTTTTCATTAGTCATGTACCTGTTCAAAAGATCTTGCACCAAATCAATATCATAAGTAGTAATCTGCGGAGACCTAGCTGGAATCAGTATATCTTTGATGGAAGCTTCGTGCAATTTTAGGCTGATGCTGTTCATCAACTCTTGTCTGGACGATTCATCGGCTTCAACAAGTAAGGCCACTTTCAATAGTTTCAACAAGAAACTACAAGAGCAACCAACACCGTTGTCACACGGTAATAAACACACAATTGTTTCAACCAGTGATTTGTTCCTTCGGGCATGAGCATCGGAAACCAATGCATCAACGGAATCAGGTAACCATCTAACTGCATACGTTTTCAGTGCCTCACCGATCACAACACCATCCATTCTCCCCTTTGATTTCACAGTAATCATTACGCGTTTATAAAGATCAATGTCCAGCTCACATATATCCTCAACCCACCAATCCTTTGGAACAGACTCAAATTTCTCCTTTGCTGTTACCTTGTCCTCGACAATTTTATCAACATGTGCTAGTTTCCGGTTGTAAGTGTAAGACCAAGTGATGTTCACCGGATCAACAGAAGTTTTCGAAGCTATGGAATCTATGCATCTTCCGACAATCTTTAGATCCTCGGACCAAGGGAAAAGTGATTTAGCAGTTTGGAGAACAATTATAGAATCCTTCCAGCTACGAAAGATACTCGAGGTAAGAAACACATCAATTTTGAAAATCAAGTTTCCTCTATCCATCTCCTCTGTCATCTCAAGACACTCAGCCGCACATCGAGCAGCCACGACATTGTAAGCATTTAGAGTAACAGTCATTCCATAACAAAACTTCGCACATATTTCAAACGCCTTGGGCCCTCCCGGGAAATCGTTCAAGTATATTTCATCAGCATTATCTTCGTTAGCTTTCGACACCAACTTCTGTAAGCGATTGCTCTTGGACAGTAGAGGGAACTGCAACACATGAAAAGTAAAAATCAATAAAGAATCACTTATTCAACTGAACAATATAACAAAGGATGCTGAAAAGTACTTGCCTTGTGAAGGTCAAACTTAACTTCACCAACAGCTATGATAATATCTGTAGCTAATTCAGAAGATATATGCCTGCATAAATTGGAAATGTTACCATTTTAGAGTTTTAGCCCAACCACATTTTTTAACATTTTTTGAACATGGTATCATGTCAGAGTATCGTTTAAGAACCGATGGACCACTTGCTATCAGTTTCCGCTATCAGGCCACCCACCAGTCGTGATAGAGTCCATTAAGAGTCCGACTTCGGACAATATATGGCCTAAACATGCTCTTAAAAGTGGCGGCAATCCTCACCCTACAAGTTGGTTTTGTAGGATGAGTTAGGCCCAACCAGATGCATATCAAAATCAATTCTCTACCACCATAATCATTTTTTTCTCTTTCAAAAGTGGAACCAAACATACACTAACAACATGCAAAACCAATGAACTTTAGAGTGTAAAGTTAACGTCACCCATTAAAGAACAAATCAATAGTAGATAAACAACATGCACATGCATAACAAAGCACTGTCAGATTTATTATTTTCACTCTTCCTTATTTTGAAAGAGTCAAATCATATAATTTAATATACACACCAACCAGATGTAGTAGTTCTTACTTCTCAGTTGAATATTCTGCACATGATTAATAACAGGCTTTGAATCCACCAACCAGCCATAATATTTAAGAAATAATCTGAACACTCCAGTGGAACTCACATGCTAAAAAGTAAAACTAATAATATATATAGAAAAACATATAAAGAATCATTATAATATAACAATTCATATTAATATTGTCCCATAAAAGAGTTTCCAAAGTAGCATGATTTTAAATGCTGAGTAAACCATACCACAATTATACACACTGTTTGGACCACAAACTCATCAATAGATTCTGGACCACTTCCAATGAAACCTCTCTATCTTTCTTTCTGACTTTACAGTCATAAACAATATAGTAATATATTAAATCATTACAGTAGTTTTCTTTTTTTTGTGTGTGCATAGATTGAGCTACATGAGTTACTTTCTATTGTAAAGAGTTAGATATAATCTAACAATATTGAGTATCAGCAACACACAACAAATATACAGTAAGAATGCATGGAGAAACATGAAACAGAAGAAGAAAGTAAAGATGAAAAGAGAAGAAGATGAAACCTGACAAAGTTGCCATCATATTGAAGTGCATCAGGCTTAGAACCTAGCTTCATGAACTTCATATTTTTGTTTGTGTGGTTAGAAGAAGAAGTGGTTGGAGAAGAGAGAATGAAAGAGAAGGATAGAGGAGTAATGAAAGAGAGAAAGCGTGTTAAGGAATGGAAGAGAATTGAATGCTGTTATAAATTTAGTTGGTGGAAAAATGAGGTGAGAGGGAAAGAAGAGAAAAATATGATCAGAAAAAGAATAGAAAAAGTGAAGATGAATCAGAAATGAATAAGAGAGAGAAGTGGTCGCCGCCTTAAAGCATGGTGATGGTGATGCGGTGTAAGGGAGTGAAGAATATGGTTGGAGGCACAAATCTCAAAGGGATGAGAGAGAGAGAGAGAGGGGGGGGGTTTATGATGGATTGGTGGTGTTTCTGCTGTTGTTTCTTTCTATTCTCTATTCTGAGCTAAACACACTTTCTCTGCTACGTGAATCATGATCGTTTCCACACTCTGACGCCTTTGTCTCTCCAATATAAATAAGTTAGATAAATTTAATTCATATTCTTACTATAAATTGGAATATTTTTTATGCTCTTACCTAATTAACAACTCATCACATGTTAAAAATACAAAACATTAGTAATGTAAAGGTATGACACAAGTTTAAAAAAGTTTAAAAAAAAAAAGTTATTACCTCTGGTCATATTTAAAAAAATATATATAATTTTTGGAACATGTATCCTTCTTCTACCGTACACTAGATCTGGTCAGCTTGTGGATGATGACGAAGTGTCCTCTTCAACGCACCTAATATCTCCCTTAACTACATGCGTTTATGATGAATTTGATGGCGACACGACAAGGACAAGTGAGTTGATGACTCCTTATCTAAAAGAAGTACCCATGGAATAGGTGACCCTGGGAGATGGCCTAGGAGATTTAGTAGTTTTTTTTGTTTCCTTGGCCATGTGTGGCTTTTCTCTGTACTTTTCATGTGTGGAGAATTTTGTAAAGACCTAACTTCTCTACCTTTTAGGTGTCTTTATTTTAACTTTTTTACCCTTATTATCGTTCTTCTCGGTTTGTATAGGGTTGTTTTTTAAGTGACTTTATATGATTGCTCAAGAGCCCTGTTTGGGCCCTTCGCTGATATTGTTCCATAAGGCAGCAAGGATCCTTTATGAAGATTTGGTGAATTTCATCGCATCAAGGGGTGACAAGGATTCCTTCATGAGGTCCAACATGATTGATCGCCTCAAAGGACAACAAGGATTCCTCCACGTGGATCCATCATCTTATCACCTCGAAGGGGAGGCAAAGATTCCTCCACGATGATCCATCATTTTATCTCCTTCAATGCGGCAAGGATTCCTCCATGTGGATCTAACATTTTTTATCACCTCAAAGGGAGGAAAAGAATTATCTGAGGATCAAACGTGCTTGATCGCCTAAAAGGGTGGAAAATATCACGAGGATTCAACATGTTTGATATCCTCAAAGGGCGACGAGGATTCTTTCATGAGGATTCAATGTGTTTGATCTCCTTAAAGGGAGACAAGGATATCTCCACGAGGATCCAATATTTCTTATTGTCTCGGAGGGAGGCAAGGGTTCTTCCACGAGGATCCAACATCTTATCGCTTCCAAGGGGTGGCAAGGATTCTTCCATGAGGATCCTCCGTGCTTGATCGCCTCAAAGAGTGGCAAAGATTTCTCCATTATGATCCAACATATTTGATCACTTCAAAGGGTGACAAGAATTTCTCCATGAGGATCCAACATATTTGATCGCCACAAAATAGAGTCAAGGATTCTTCCATGAGGATCCAACATTTCCCATTGCCTTTGGGGGAGTAAATGATTCCTCCACACGAATACGTCATCTTATCTCCTCTAAGAGGCAGCAAGGATTCTTACATGAGGATCCAACGTGCTTGATCGCCTCAAAGGGAGAGAAAGATTCTTCAATGAGGATCTGACATGTTTAATCGTCTCAAAGGGCAAAAAAGATTCCTCAACAAGGATCCAACATGCTTGATCGCCTCAAGGGGCGCAAAAAATTTATGCATAAGGATTCAACATGTTTGATCACCTCAAAGGGAGACAAGGATTCCTCCATGAGGATCCGACGTGTTTGGTCGCCTCAAAGGGAGGCAATGATTCCTCCATGAGGATCCATCACTTTTTATCATCTCGGAGGGCGACAAAGATTCCTCCATGAGCATCCCAAATCTTATTTCCTACAAAGAAAGGCAAGGATTCCTCCATGAGCATCCCAAATCTTATTTCCTACAAATCTTTTTGGTTTTAAAAGAATATTTTTTAATTGTAAAAGAAATAATTAAAACCCTAGTTTCTAATTAAATTTACAAATTAATTAATAAAATAGATAAAGTATGATTAAATAAAAATAATTTTTATTGTAAAAATAAATAAGCTATATCAAAATATAAATTTAATGTTTTTATATTTTTTCTGATTTTTCTAATATTAAATAAAATATTAAAAAAAACAAATAAATAAAGAAAAGAAAAAAGGAATAAAATGGGCTAGGGGTGTGAATAGTGAGCAGGGAGTATGAGATGAGCAAAAATACTAGGCCCAGCACAGGGGGCCCAGCGCTGCAAACAAACACCAAAAAAATGAGAAAATAAGCAAAAGGGTACCACTGGGCTCGAACCCAGGTCCCAAAGGTTAACAGGCGCGCGCTTTACCACTGGGGTGGCTATACATCCGTTCATATAAACAAAACAATAAATATATATTAGAAATCAAGTCCATGGCCTGAACTTCATCTTCAACCTCACGCCCAGCCAGAGTACCCGCATCTTGTTCATTTCTCATCCATTTGCAAAAGTGTAAACATGAATCTTGTGGCAAATTTCCTCACGATTTCAGAAATGTAAAGCAATAATATTATAGATCAAAGACAAGCATGAATTTTAATGGCCCTAATCTGAACCCTAAAAATTTTAGAAACTCCAATCTTAAAATTTTCTAAGCTCAGGCAACATAAATGAAAACTATGGACATGGTTAGCTTTATGGCAATGATATCTACATTTTTCATTCAAAAATAAATCATTAATGATGCTTGTATGAAAAGTTCAAAGTTAAGGAAACTTACCTCAAAACTGGAAATCGTATTCTGAGTTTGAGCATTCCTCAAGGTGTTGTGATGATCAGAATAGCTCCACTGAGGTCCCAGGAAGCTAATGCAATGATTAGCTTGGTTGGAGAATGGCTGAAATGGTCTGGAGAAGTCCACTTGCAGTTCTCTGTTTTTGAACTTGGAAATGGAGGAAGATGGTGTTACAGAACTATAACAGGGTATGGGATTGTTTGTGTATGATTCTTGGAAGCTTTTGAAAATAAGAAGCCAAGAAACACACAAGTAGTTTTTGGTTCTTGGTCACAGTAGAAAAGGAAGTTGCTTCAACCCACTTCGTAAAGTAATCAATTGCTACTAGGATGAAACGATGCCCGTTGGATGCCGTCGGTCTGATCTCGCCGATCATATCAATGCCCCACATTGCAAAAGGCCAAGGAGCGGTCAAGACGTTCAGAGGAACTGGAGGTATGTGCACCTTATCAGCATAGACTTGGCACTTGTGACATGTCCGAGAATGCTGATAACAGTCGGCTTCCATTGTGGACCAATAGTATCCTGCCCGGAGGATTTTCTTTGCCATGGTGTGTCCACTGGAATGAGTTCCAAAAGTACCTTCATGTAACTCTGCCATGATCCTTTCTGCTTCAGTCTTATCCACACAACACAATAAGGTCGAATCATGGTTACGCTTGTAAAGAATGCCATTGCTGATGAAAAACTTTGCTGCGAACCTTCTCAGAAACTTCTTGTCATTAACAGATGCACCCTCGGGGTATTCCTGAGCTTCAAGATACTTCTTCACCTCATGAAACCAGGGTTTATCCGCTACCTCTTCAGCCTCAATGTCACAGCAATGTGCAGGTTCGTCCAATCTTTCAATGATAATCCTGGGAGCCTCGTTGTCCCAATTGACCTTGAACATAGAAGACATTGTAGCCAGCGCGTCCGCCAACTGATTCTCCTCTCTAGGGAAGTGTTCAAAGGTTATCTCCTTAAAATGGGGAAGCAACGTCAATACATACTCCTTGTAAGGAATAAGATTTGGGTGTTTCGTATCCCACTCGCCTTTGATCTGACTGATCACGAGAGCGGAATCTCCAAAGACACTTAGAAACTTAATCCTTAGGTCAACTGCTGCTCGAAGACCCATGATGCACGCTTCATACTCCGCCATATTGTTGGTGCAGTTGAAACATAGTCGGGCGGTGAACGGAGTATGAGAGCCTTTAGGAGATATGATCACGGCGCCAATGCCATTACCCAAAGCGTTCGAAGCTCCATCAAAGTACATAGACCATCGGGATCCTTCCTCAGGTCCTTCATCCGGTCCAGGTGTCTCACAACTAGTTACCAACATGATATTCTCGTCCGGGAATTCAAAGTTCATAGAATGGTAATCATCCACTGCCTGACGTGCCAAATGGTCTGCCAACACACTTCCCTTGATTGCCTTTTGGGTCGTATATTGGATGTCATACTCAGTCAAGATCATCTGCCATCTTGCTATTCTTCCGGACAAGGCAGGCTTTTCGAAGATATACTTGATTGGATCCATTTTTGATATCAACAGAGTAGTGTGAGTCAACATATACTGTCTCAGCCAGCGAGCAGCCCATGCCAAAGCGCATCAAGTTTTCTCGAGCAGTGAGTATCGGGTCTCACAGTCGGTAAAATTTTTGCTAAGGTAATAAATAGCATGCTCTTTTCGGCCAGACTCGTCATGTTGACCTAGCACGCACCCCATTGAGTTGTCGAGTACGGTCAAGTATAAAATCAGAGGTCTCCCCTCAACTGGTGGCATTAAAATAGGTGGCTCTTGGAGATACTCCTTGATTCTTTTGAAAGCAGCCTGACATTCATCGTTCCAACGTACTACTTGATCTTTCTTCAGTAACTTGAAGATTGGCTCACAAGTAGCAGTCAGGTGCGAGATGAATCGGGCAATGTAGTTCAGTCGTCCC